TTTCTGTCACACAAAGATGATTTTTATTTTTGTGTTTCCTAAAATAACATTTGGATTGTGACTGTGCTCAAGGCTCAGAGCAGGATCTCTGAAAGAGGAAGAACATTTCAACGTATGAAACACAACAATCATCAGTTGAGTTATGACATTAAGTTTTAGGGTCAGGGGATTCGAACCAGCGACCTTCTGATCACAGGCTCGCCCTCTCTAACCTCTGCGCCCCCCAAATGAATTTAAAAACGTTCAGGCTGCAACGCGGTGATCACTGAGTGGAGCTGTCCGCCTGAAGAAAATGAACAGCTGTGGCTCGTCTGAACCCGACTCCCCGTTTGGCCTCGGGTGAGGGCCGACCATCAAATGTCTCCTGGAACACGAGTGAACTAAGGAAAAGCTCCGTCTACCGCAGAGGTTTACAGATGGAGCTAGACTGAGGCGAGGAGGTCAAGATTTACTCCACAAAACTTGAGTTTCAGCCTGGCAGCACTCCATGTGTCGTGAATGACCCTCAGCCACCACCAGTTGAGTTTCTGTAAATTGGACAGTTATAGCAGTTGCTGGTGTTACAAGAGGTGGCTTGGCTGTGGCGGCCATCTTGATATAAAAGTTAATCATTGCACATGTGCGACCGATGGTGTGACCATGTTTCCATCATCGGGCTTTGATAAAGTTCATGCTCAATCATCCAGGTACCAAATCCAATAATTCTCATTCGGGTCATCTGGACAGTTTCTTGTTTATAGAGACGTTTCACCCCCTATCCAGAGGGCTTCATCAGTCAGAGGAGTTCCAGTAAACTGTTTCCCTACCAAGCAGTAACCTCCTTAAGTGGACCAACCAGTTTGCTGGAGCCAGATGACATGACTGAGAATTGTTGGATTTGGTACCTGGATGACTGAGCATGAACTTTGCTGTCTTGAACACTTCGGCTGTGGCTGCCTGGGAGGAGTCGACGAGGGACAGGACGGCCCCCAGAAACCATCTTAGCTCCAGCAACCTGGTTGGTCCACTTAAGGAGGTTACTGCTTGGTGGGGAAACAGTTTACTGGAACTCCTCTGACTGATGAAGCCCTCTGGATAG